TCTCTCTTCGCGTTAGGTGACCAAAGTATCTGAGCTTGAGCTTCATTATCGATCCTTCCAAAGAACAGAGCAAGAATAATGCTTAAATAAAGATTAGGAAGATACTCCTGGAGTCACAATGAACTCTAGGTCAATCTTGAGCCAAAAGCTTTCCAACGCTTTTAGAATTTAGTCAAGGAACAAGGAAAACAAAGAAAATAAATGGAGCCCAGGCTTTCAAGATAATTCTAGGATTCAAAAGAAATAGTACATATTATGCAATAAGGTTGAGGTATATGGGATGAGGTAGAACAAAGAAACTAATAATTTCATCCTGCCTTATGAAACAAAACCTTTGAGGTTCACTGAACCTCAGTGAAATTGACAAAACCCATGCTATGGAGGATAAATAATTATTGGTGAGTAGAAGGCCTTTGGCTGGGGGGAAATGGTACCCTGATCATCTGATCTGTGCTGCAAATGGGAACCCTAGAAAATTAAGTCATTTCCCCCTGTTTTGGATAACCCAATTTATATTTTTTATACAGATACTCCCATGGCAATAAAATTGTGTGTGTGTGTGTGTGTGTTTTCATACAACCCATTTCTAAACTATCTTCCTTCAGTCTATTCAACAGAGGGGCACTTCTCTCTCTATTCTCTGATAGCAGCGCTCTTCTTTTCAGCAGTCTCCCCTGTCTCTGACTTGGCTGTCCTTTCTAAGATATAACAGATTCTTAAGCCAAACTGTCAAGATGATGCCAATAGGAAAATTAGGGCACAACAGCATATGAACCATGAGCTAATGCATCTGAGATCCTTTGCAAAAACTTGAATAGCTTACGGCTACAGTAAAATATAGTAAGGGGATAGCTTACTAACCTAGTTTAGTAATAGCCATAAAAACAAACATTATGTTCTTCTTGTTGAAGCTGCTTTTACTATTAGTATCTGTTAACTTTGTCTCATAATGTCTTAGATATGATCCCAAAACCGACACTTGGACTACTGTAGCACCTTTGAGTGTTCCTCGAGATGCTGTTGGCATTTGTACTCTTGGAGATAGATTGTATGCAGTGGGTGGCTACGATGGACACACCTATTTGAACACAGTAGAATCTTATGATGCCCAAAACAATGAATGGACAGAGGTAATTTCTTATTTATGTATCTCTGCTCTGATTGCTCAGCGTACTCCTGCCATCTTTGTTCCTTCAACTCAAGGCATCACACTATGACTCAACAATTCTCATTCCCTGATAATGGGAATTGCTTGTAGGTCATTCTGTGCTTGGAAGGAAAGAGAAAAAGAGGGCCACGAGCCTCAAGGACTCAGTTACAGTAGCAATGGATGCACCATCAGAAAATTTGAAGGACTAGGTTGAGGACAGATCATCCCAGAGAAGATCTAAGTGGTCACTGTGACTCAACAGCAATTTGATAGCAAATAATAAACAAACCTATCAGTCAATCAATCAATCAACCTATGGGACACAGAGAGGTCTTCTGGATGATGGAATAAGGAATGGAACCAATCCACTTAACCTCTCTTTCCTTCCTTGCATGTGGATCTTCTACACTTTTAACACCTCAAACATATGCTAAAAGACAAGGATCTAACTCAGGCATTCTCTGTTTTATAGGAAGTTCCAGTCAATGTGGGAAGAGCTGGAACCTGTATCGTAGTTGTAAAGCTTCCCTGATGAACATTTTCAGGTGTGCATCGATAGACAAGCACAGCTCCTCAAAGCAACCCTGATAGAAGGGAAGAGCTGGTATTTTTGAACAGAAAGCCTCTTCATGCTGCTTTCATTATTGAAGAAGCCACAGGCGTGTGGTGATGGGAGACCGAAGCATGGGAAAAAGCATTTCTCTAAATTCCAAAGACAGACTCTCAGGGGTTCAATCATCATGGTGATTGAAACCTCATTTCAGAGGGCAGAGCTGGGTACATTGTGTGCTTTTATTTTATTTTATTTTATTTTATTTTATTTTATTTTATTTTATTTTATTTTATTTTATTTTATTTTATTTTATTTTATTTTATTTTATTTTATTTTATTTTATTTTATTTTATTTTATTTTATTTTATTTTATTTTATTTTATTTTATTTTATTTTATTTTATTTTATTTTATTTTATTTTATTTTATTTTATTTTATTTTATTTTATTTTATTTTATTTTATTTTATTTTATTTTATTTTATTTTATTTCATTTCATTTTTTTTTTTAAAGAGAGCAAAACTTCTAACGGAAGATAATCCCATTTCTGTGTCAGGAACAGCCAATTGGGCTACACCACATGAACTGCATACTTTGGCATATGATTGATTATTTGCAACACTTCTACTACTTGGCAAGAGAAAGCAGGCAGACAGCCAAGTTTGGGTCCTGAAGTTTGAACCCTTCATCATTGGAAAATTGGTCCCTGGCTCATCCTAGCAGCACTAGATGGCTGGATTCTGCCACTCTTTCATTTTTCCACAGTGCCACTGATCTTGATGGAGCATTATGGAAAATGAAAGAGTTGATAAAATACAGATGATTTGGCATGTTCTCATCCCAGCAAGACAGGCTCACTGATTGATGGAGATCCGCTAGAAGACTGCTTGACCTGGACCTTTTTAGTTTTGATGGCAACCTTCCCTTCTGGACTCGTGAGATCTTTGGTAACGAAGGCTCATGAATTTCCTTCCTGGATGTAAGGCAGAACTTTCCTTGCCATTGCCAGGATCATATATGGAGACAAATGGTTGTGGGTATAGAGTGATATGGTGGGTAAAAGAATGGAAAAAATTCCCACAAACACAATGGCCAACTTTTGACAGCTTTTTGATATGTAGTTGGGGGTGGGGAAACCCAACAATGGCTGAGATAAAATAATTTTCTGTACCTTAAAATAAATAAGACAGCAGTATAAGTACAATGCAGGCTGGCACTTCTGAATTTCCTAAACTCCAGTTCATACATGATTATTATGATTGTGGCCTAGTGACCTTTATGTTCTTAAGAGCCAGTTTCTTGGAAACATGGAACCCAATTTAATGATCTAAAAACCTTCACAATATGTAGATCTGTTCTCTTTTCTCTGTTTTTCTTCCCCCGAGGTCATGCTGACACCGATATAGTTTATTTTAGGTCATATGGACATAGATGAAAACTTGGAACACATATGCAAATCCAAATCGACACTTAATGATAGTTTGTAACTCAAGGTATATGCACAAACATATGTTCAAAAGGAGCAAAATCATAACTGAAAAAATGGTTTGCAAATAGTATACATGCATAAATGCATACATTTTGGAGAAATGATCCTGAAAATATATCGTGCAAACTCTTGTCCATCATATCAAAGAATATTTTCGGTAATTTACCTAGTGTTGTTCTCATTCCTTTCACAGAACAAAAGTTCTATCTTTTTGCGGGCAAACCACTCGGTTCTAATCTCAAATTAGATGCCAACTTTCATATGACAAGTCCATTATTTTTTCCATAAATCCTTTATAAAAAGCAGTTTTATTTTCATTTGGTGCATATATTCCCAATATCATAATTTTGGTTTCATTCCAATTGATTTTAGCCCCCATATATCTACCATGATCATCAGTCAACATCACTTTGGTTGTAACTGTGGGTTTATATAAAAACCAACTCCATTCTTCTTACTTCTGCCCGCCAAAATAAATTCTTGATCCAATTTTTTATAAATCAATTTTTTTGTCCTTCTTTCTTATAGAGGTTTCCTGTAGATTAATTACGTCTTGTTTCAACTTTTTCAAATAATGAAATAACTTTTTCTCTTTGGGGTAGCGTTTGCACTTTCCAGTGGTTTCTCTGTCCAACCTCACCTGTGTCCAGCAGAGCTGGCTCTAACATGCTGCCAGAGATGCAAAGCCACTCTGAAGGCAGCAGTGAAGAGGGCTGTAAGCTACATATGTCAGGGCCAACCAGTCAGTTCACAGAGGAGGAACCAAGGATGCTCAAGAAAATCATCTCACGTCGCTGTGAGGAAACACAAGAATCAGACTCCTGGGGAGGTATAGCTAATTAAAGACGGCTCTGTGAACGTAAAGCAGATGACTGCAGTAAAGAGCAAGGAACCGGTCAACTCATGTTGTCTGACTGTCCCTCCGTCCGTCCGTCTGTCCGTCCATCTATCCATCTGTCTTCATGTCTGCAAAGACCTGAACAGAGTGACAGTTAGGGACCATTATCCACTCTTGCTTATCTCTGAACTACTAGATGTGCTACAAAGAAAGGTATGTTTACCAAACCATACTTGAGAAGTGCTTAAACCTAATCAGAATGAAAGAAGGCCATGAGAAGACACAGTAATGCCATTCAGCCTAGTTAACCACGAGCTCTTTTTTCCTAGATTCATGAACCAAACATTTTCAGATATTGTCTACTTGGATGATATATTAGTTTATTCTGAAGATCTCTCTTTGCATGTAACCCATGTCAGAAATTCTGGGACAAGCAGCTCTTTGCTAAATTAGAAAAATGTGCATTTAATCTGTACCAATTGGACTATTTGGGTTACTCTAGAGCACCCCTACCAGCAGAAAGGAACTATGACATTTTCAATAAAGATTTAATGGTGGTAAAAAATGCCTTTCCACAATGGAGACTTCTGCTAGAAGGAGCAGCACACCCGATACAAGTACGTACAGATTATAAACATTTAGAGATTCTGCAAAACACCCAATCTTTCGTCCCTTGGGAAATCAGGTGGGCACAATTTTTCTCCCACTTTGATATTTGCATCTCATATGTCCCAGGTGCCCAGAACAAGCTTCCAGACACCCTCTCACAAAGGCCAGAGTATGAAGTTCCCGGGCCCCCCTGCCAGCAACAATATTGTAGTCATGCAACTTTGAGTCATACCATAAATCAGACTAACACAAGAGACTGGGAGAAGCCTCTTGTGTTGGTCTGATTTACAGTGTGACTCAAATCGACAAGCTGTTGATCTCTTTCATAGGATTATAAATTATGATGCATATGCCAGGGCCCAGATGGATGACCTCCAGGAAGTCCAGCAAGGTACCTTTTGACCTTTCACAGTGGAAGGAGTGCAGCTGTTCCATAATGGACATTTCTCTGTCCATCCACCCGTCTGTCTATCCACCTGACTGCGGCTGTCTGTCCACCCATCTGTCCATCCACCTGTCTGTCCGTCCATCTGTTCATCCATCTGTACCATAAAAATCCATGCCATCCAAACCTTAGGTTGTGGACTTCTAATTCTAACATTCTCTTATTTCTCAAAAACACCAACTCTTTTATCCTGTTTTCATCCAAACAGCAGGCTGCAAAATACAGTTTAAAATCAGACCATCCTAATCATCCTTTTTTCTTTGCATCCTGAAGAATTTTATATTTAACCTTTGGTTTTTTTCCCCCTTGCCATACAACTCTAGATATGTCTTTTTGCCATTGTTAAATGGTGTGTCATCTGTCAAAACAGGTATTGTTTGAAATAAAAACATCATTCTAGGTAATACATTCATTTTTAGCACAAAAATATCTGCATTGGCCAAACATATTCTGGATTATCCCATTGAAGAATTCCATGAATAGGGCAAATATCTGCACAACAACAACCTTGCAGGGAAGCAACCCTGTTCTCTTTCCAAAGATGATGGACTCTTTCAGGAACCTGTGAAGTTTGCAGTGGTGTTCACTTTTCTTTAAATACTTGCCTTCAATATGAACAGTCTGGGTTGTATTGTAAATGTGCTTCCTTAGTACCATTGACTGGGCCATTTCTTATTAAAAAAAAAAAAAAGATTTCTAACATAGGCAGCAAAGCTATGCTTTGATGAAAAGCACCTGTGGTATTGATCTTACAGTTTTCACATTTGTCTGGGTTGGATAAATCCATTTATCAGATATATTTTAAGGCATTTGTCTTTTTCTGGAATAATCACTGCAGGTTAAGGCTCTGTTGCTGGCAAGGTGTTAATATAATCACATTTATGGAATGAAATTTATACACAGTCACACAAATTCATATTGGTATGACTATGACCTCAGCTGTGGATTGCCAATCCATTGATGCAGTCAGGAAGACAGTATAAGAGAGGAAAGGGTTAGGACAGATGGATGGATGGGCAGGTGGATGGACAGACAGATGGACTGACAATGAACAGATGGAGGGACAGATGGACAGATGTATGGGCAAACAGATGGACAGACGAACAGACAGATGAACGGACAGATAGAATGATGGACAGATGGAGAGACAGCAGCCTACACCCAGAAAAGCAGGGATTAACACCAGATAAACAATCAAGGAACTACCAAGGAGAAAACCACACCCCCACCAACATGGGCAGGGCAAGCTACTCTGTATGTGTGTGTGTGTGTGTGTGTATGGAGCAAACCCCACATTCACTAGCACTAGTCAGGTAATGAAATGTCTACAAGCAAACAAGGAAGCTCAGAGAGCACCAAGGACTCCACAGAAAAAGGAGCTGTCGAAACAAAGACAGATTTCCCAGCCCTGCTAACACAATCTTTCCAAAAATGGTCTTTATACTAACTCACAATTTACAGGAATTAGGGAAGAAACATAGGCAATGTCTATTTGGAGAATTAAAAAGGGAAATTGAAAGGGATGGGGATTTAGGTTTTGATTCATTGATGATAATTTTCATTCAGTTAAAAAAATCTTATATTTATAATATGGCAAGTTTGGCATGTGACTGAAATAAAATCTACTTTCTCTGACAAAGAATACATGGTGCATATTTTATTATGGCATAATTATCTTTTCCATGACATTGGTTATTTCAGACACTGGGCCAAGAGACACTGCCAAGAGAACGATCAGATAAGAGACAGCATAGCCCGTAGCTGGAGAGTGGACGGGGCAAGAGGCTCAGAAGAGGCCATCCCTAGTTTCTCAAGCTATAAAGGAGATGGGGGGGGGGGGAGAAGTACTTTCAGACTTGCAAGATTCTGTCAATGTAGCTTTACAATAAAGTAG